TCAACAAAAAAAAAGGCTACAGATGTGTTGTCTCCTCTTTATATACTAAGATGACGTGCCTCACAACCTATAATGATAATGGCTCTCAATACGCTTGCTCACATTGCTGAATATGGTGCATACACTGCTGTTAGGTGGCAGAAATAGGTAAGGGTGTGGGACCTACCTAGACAGAATCATAGGCAGAATAGGTGTTCTATCGTTAAAGAAACATTCAGTGAGGATTTACCTTAATTGATAAGTGAAGGGGCTTATGTCCAACAGTGGACTTTTCATGGCTGATAAAATAGGGAAAAAATATTATCTTGTGGATTATTCGTCATGCCTGCGAAAATTTTTAATTCCTTGGTAATAACTAGATATTTGACAGAAGTCAATTGTATCAAATGCTTTTAAGAGATGACAAAATAAATATTCCTACAAAAATTGTATGCGAATAATGAAATCATCTCTATAGACTTGAATAATAGTAATGGTGGTCTCAACCCAATAATTTTAGTTCTAATATATCAAGCTGAATACAAAGCAGTGTCTTGTAAATATAAAAAAAGCGGTGCCAACCCGCTTGCGAAGCGTGGCAACTATGGCAAATATCACCCCTATGAGAAAATCTATAGTGGAGGCCAATATTCTGCAGTGGACTTGAATAGGCTGGAACGGTAAGCTCAAAAGTCGCACTGTGTCACTAGAGATGCCTGTGATTGCGCCACGTGGCTTATACTCCATCAAAGCTGTGCCTATTCTCACCATTGGCTATAGCGTGGTTAATTCAGAGATAATGCCCTAAATAAAGATTTTCGTATTCCACGAGACATTAATGTTTTCAGAAGAAACTTTAATTTTAAAACATTATTGTTTCATAAGAAATGTTAATGTGTGTTCTTTCCGTAACTTGAGTTATAATTATAAGAGTAAGTATTATATAAATCAGAATTTATTCATAGTGATAAAACGGAAGAAAAAGTAAAATCCCGGAAGAAAATTTAATATCCCAAGCAATACAGCGTTCCTAAAATGTTCCTTCAACGAACTGTTAGTAAGTAGCGATGAAGCGAAAAAACGTTGGCAACCCGCCATTTTGTTTCTTTTTCGTTTAGTAAAAAAAGATAAATCGTAAATGTAAGGCCAGATTTTTATTACAACTAGATTTATATCATTATGATACATTTTGTGCTTGCTTTAAATGATGCCCCTTAAATATCTCGTAAAAGTCATGGGATAACGGAGGAAATAAAATCCGGTTATGTTTATGTGTGATCAGCCATAAAGAAATCAAACTGTTTTTCCTTGTTAAGTCTTTCTAATACTTAGCAAGCCCTGAAGTTGCAGATTGGCGATTTAAGATATTCCAATTTCCTAAAATTAACTTAAGAAACATAAGACAGAAGAAAATCGCTGTGTGGTGTTATCACATCCACTATCGATAGCCTTGAAAGACAACGATCTTTGGCCGTGTAGAAAGAATGAATGAGGAAAGAGTGACAAAGCAAATTTATGTTGCAGAGGTGAACGGCATAGTCGAAAAGGGTCGCCCTAGGCGAAAGTTTATCGACCAAATTGGCGTTATATTAAAAATGGGCCATATCAAGAGTACCTTTAACCGACGAGCGTTTATGCGTAGGTATATGGATGTGGAGGAAGCGAGAGAGGTATGTCAGGATCGTGCCAAATGGAAGTCCATAATCTCTGCCTACCCCTCTGGGTGACAGGCGTGAGTGTTAATGTTATATTATGTTATGTTATTTGAAATATCCAGAGAACTGTTATCACTAATCCACATTCCAATCATGATGATTAAGGAAAGTTCTTCCCATACGCGAGAGAGGTGATAAAGATGAAGATATTCTGGCGGTATAAGAATAACACGATATGATTCTCCCATTCTATTTCATTTATCGGACTATAAGATGAATGACGCGTTTTTATTCTTTCGTTACAGATATATCTCTCCTAATTCACAATACAAACTTAAAAATAATAAAATCCTGCGGATGCCAACCCGCCTGCTTAGCTTTGAAACTACGGAAAATATCTTGAATTTAGATAAAGAATTAAAATTGTTCTAAGAAACCACTGATTATACTTTTATACCCGTACTAAACAACTTGCATAAAGCTTATAATAAAAACTACCGATGTTATTAACATGTGTTACCGATTACGTCTGCACATTCATTTTTAAAATGTTGCCGAATAAACAGTATAATGGACAAATGATATTTTTTTTTAGTTCCCAAGCCAATGTTTGTACATCAGCTATATACACAAACAATCAGTCATGTACGGTAAGTAAATATCTCGGGAATAGCACAGTATTTGTTGGAGAGAATTAGACAACGCGTTGAGAGCTTGGTAAACATTGCAGAGATCAATATTAAACTAATCATTTGGTATTTCTTTTCTAAACGAAGTTTTGCTTAGAATGTAGTGTTTGTAGTTACAATATAATGTACTAAGATGTAAAATAGACTCAAATACATTTCACTTTATAGCAAGTGGCTATTTCAGCTAATGCACATTTAAAGTGGTTGACCTCTGATGATTAAGAAGGAGAGCCACATAAGTAAGGGTAGCAAGCCTATGGTAATTGCATACAGTGGCACATAACATCTGCATCTATCATCGATAAAGAATGAAAATGTACATTTAAAGCATAAAGCATTTCAAACATAGTTGCTGGGAGCACTACGTCTACGTACTTCGTCAGACATACTTCAAAACCTTAAATCAAAATTGTACAACCAGTGCGTGTTGCCAGTGATGACTTACGGATCTGAGACGTGGTCCTTCACTGCTGACCATATGAGGAAGCTCAAGGTCGCTCAGCGAGCTATGGAGAGGGCTATGCTCGTTGTTTCTGTGCGTGATAAACCTATAAATGAGGATATCCGCAGTAGCAGCTGAAGTGGCAGTGGGCCGGCCATATAGCTCGAAGAACCGAAAACCGATGGGGAAGAAAGTTTCTTGAGTTGCAGCCTCGTACCGGTAGGTGAAGTGTAGGGCGAACCCCCATGAGATGGAGTGACGACATGGTAAGACATGCAGGAAGTCGATGGATGCAGGTGGCTCAGGACCGTGCTTTGTGGCGTTCCTTGGGGGAGGCCTTTGTTCAGCAGTGGACTTATAAAAGGCTGTAATGATGATAACGATGATGACGTGCAACGATACCACTGTACGTGCGGGGATAAATTTCTTGATTGTATATCACTACTACGTGCATATAATATGATAGTGTCCTTATATTTATTTTAAATATAACCCATGAACGGGTGTGTGTGATTGATTGATTGTTCGTATTGAACCAAATATGTTATTTATAGGGATTATACCGTGAATATTTAAATACCGTTATAAAGCGTCGAATATAATAAATAAAATAAAAAGCCTTTTATTTCTTGCATAAGTAACAAAATGAATAAACTAAGCTTAAGATTAAGATAGATATTTAATCTGCAAGAACCCTTCCGCAGGTGAAGGCCTCCTCCAAAGAGTCCCAATTTTCTCTATCTTGGGCTTTTTGCATCCAGCTTGGGCCGGCCGTTTTGCATATATCATCCGCCCATCGCGTAAGCGGTCTCCCTCTATAGCGTTTTCCGCTTGGACTTCTCCACCGTGTCACCCTTATGGTCCACCGCTCGTCTGACAGTCTCGCTACATGCCCCGCCCACTTCCATTTTAGTTTTTTGGCATAGTTTAGAGCATCAGTAGCTTTAGATATGCTTCTAATTTTAGTGTTTCTTATTTTTTGGATTTTCCTAATTTTTACCATGCTTCGTTCTAGGCTCCGTTTACACGTGGTAATTTTTTTCTTTATTTTTTCTGTGTATTTCCAAGTCTGACAAGCATAAGTTAGGCACGGTAAAAGACAGTTTGACATGGCTTTAGTTTTAATTTTTACTGACTTATTACTTTTGAAAATTTCCTTTAGGCTCCAGTACTTGTTCCAAGTAAGTTGAATACGCCTCTCGATTTCTGAATAATTACTCTCCTTATCGAAGCCAATTTGTTTGCCTAAGTATGTATATTTGTTCGTATATTTCAATATGTCGTTATCGACTGATATTGTTTTTTCCATGCTGTTTGTCATTACCATAGTTTTTGCGAGGTTCATCTCTAATCCTACCTGCTTACTAGCCACATTAAGTGATAGAATCATGACTTGTAATTGCGAGCTTGATTCCGATAAAAGCACCAAGTCGTCAGCAAATCGGAGGTGGCTCAAGTATTTTCCGTCTATGTTTAGGCCGCTAGTTTTCCAATCCAGCTTTCTTATTATCGACTCTAGGATGGCAATGAACAGCTTCGGGGATGTCGGGTCGCCTTGTCTCACTCCTCTTTCAATGGGAAAGCTTGGGCCGACTCTTTCCAATTTTACTCTGCCCGTGTTGTTATTGTAAATACTTTTTATTACCTGTATATACTCCTTCTCCACCCCTTGCTCTATTAGCGCTTTCCAGATACATGAATGTGATACGGTATCGAAGGCTTTTTTGTAATCAATATAGGTGACGTATAGAGCTCTTTGTTTTTCTTGATATTTTTCAATCAGTGATTCCAGAGTGTGGATATGGTCTATAGTCGAGAACCTCTTCCTAAATCCCGCTTGTTCTATGGATTGTTCCGTTTCCAGTGGAATACTTATTCTTTGGTTTATGAGAGAGGAGAATAATTTATATATACAAGGCAATAAGCTTATTGGCCTGTAATTTGCAATATCACATGGGTCGCCCTTTTTATAAATTAGTATTATATCTGACTGTGACCATTGTGTCGGTGTTTTGGAATTTTTCAAAATGCAGTTGAATAAATGAGTTAACGGTAGAGCCAGTAACGAATGAACCACTTTTATAGCTTCGTTGGTGATATTGTCTGAATCACGGCTTTTATTGGTTTTTAATCTATTTATTGCTTGTATAACTTCTGTTTTGACGAAATGTTCTAATAGGTTTGGTAGGTGGGCTGTAATACATTCTCTGTATCTGCGTATTTCTTCCTCGTTGTTCAATGTACAGTTTGTTTATTTTTAAATCCAGTTCGGTTCTTTTTTATTTTTGACATTGTTATTGTTGCTCTAACTGGTCTATGATCTGAAGAAAAATTAAGATTTAATACATCAATGTTTTGTACCATACCCGGTCTGTTTGACAAAATATAATCAATTTCGTTTTTATATTCTCCATTAGGTGACCGCCATGTCCATGTACGGTTTAATTTTCTTTTGAAATACGTATTTAAAATTGCTATTTTATTTTCGAGCGCGAAGTCAATAAGTCTTTGTCCTCTGTCATTTCTTTCGCCATATCCGTTTGATTTCATTATCAAGTATTCATCTGCTCTAGGTTGGCCTATTTTGGCATTAAAGTCGCCCATAATTATATACGTATTATGTGCAAGGTCCATGGCTTTATACAAATTTGCATAAAAACTTTCTATCTCTTCCTCTCTGGCTGCTTCTGTGGGTGCATACACTTGTATAAACGACATTTTGTTGCCCTGTATATTTAAGTTTAGTAGTGCGATTCTATCAGAGATGCTGATAAAGCTTTCTATGTCTTTTTTTTATATAAGCTTATTAGAAAACCAACTCCATAATGTCCTTGTGTGAGTCCTGTATGACAGAGTATACAATTTTCATATTCTTCTATTTTTGTGCCTACCTTGTCTTCTTATGGGCGCCTACTAGAACTGACAGAAGCACTAAAGAAAAATATAAACTTTGATATAATTGCACTATCAGAAACGCGACGCTTAGGCACAAAAATAGAAAGCGTCGAATACCGAAATTAAATTTGTAATATGTAGATAATCAACGTCTACTCATTCGATGTTATAAGATCTTCATCATTATCATTACAGCCTACCAAAAGTCCTCTGCTAAAGAAAGGTATCCCCCATAGATTGCCTTCCTGAGAGGGGGAGTGGGGCTATTTCCTTGTGAGGTCACACTTGGCAGGTAAGTTGGTAACCACAGCTTTTATTTTAAAGTTATCAGGAAGACGCTGCTACCCATTTAGAGATCCTTGTTTGTTTCCCTCTGTCATTCTTACGACCAGGGAACAATATAGGAATTGAGTATTTTTAGGCCGCCTATACACGGCTTGGATGTTGAAGATATAAAAAACTTATTTGCACTCGTTTCTTTATCAGCACAAATATCCAACAATGCGCAGAGTTCAAACTATATTAGTTTGTGTAAACATAATATATCAAAGAAATTATATCAAGAGTTTATGTCTGTATTAATACGGGTAATTTAATGTTCATATTAAATTATTAATGTGATCAAATACGTTGTTACGAACCCAAATAGAGTAGATAATATTAACTGAATTTGTATAATGACAATAGAGAACTATGCTGTTAATATATTAACAGCATAGGTAATTTTATAATGTAACTAAAATTCACGTAGAATATCGACAGATACGCGTGCGGAGGTGCGACAGGGTGTACTTTGTGGCAATTTAAAGGACAGGACTAAGTTTCCAATATAAATATGAATTTTTTTTTAAACGTTACCCCCACACTTGGATTTTCTCCTGTGTCGTGGAGGCAATTTACAAACATAAATTGTACAAGAACAAAGATCCAGACCCGGAACAATTATTTGTAGGCCATACAAATACTTGTTCCGTGCGGGATTCAAAACCGCGGCCCCCAGCGCAACAACTGATTGATTAGCCACTGCGCCACGGAGCCGTCAATATGAGCTTGTGTTAAGCTGTATTTTTGATAATAGTGAAAACTTTAGTTTTCACGTCTATTAGTCTTAATTATAATAATAGACGAAATTTCTATCACGGCGAAAAAATGTCAATGGAGTTTAGCCATCTGCACAGTACAGGGTTATAATGCTCGAGTGTATGCGAAACACAGGTGCAATCTCTATTCTCTCACTATCATAGTGCAATGCGATGGCACAAGTGTGATACACCGTTGGATTTCTGACTCAGGGCTGCTACTGTGAATTTGTTGACATAAAAACTCAATTACTTATTTTTGGTCTAACGTGGGATTCAAGCCCATGATCTCAAAATCATATTTACGATCACTACATCAACGTGCCAGATTTAATACATTTAGTATCAGTATGTTAATCTAAATTAAAGTACACCCTCACCAAAAATCGACCAAGTAGTTCCAAGTAGGTACGTATCCAAATGAAAAAGACCATTGCATACCTTAAGTATAAGCGCAAGGTATGTTCTACTATCGCCTAAAAATTAATATTCCAATGTTTTATCGAATAAAATCGTATCTAGCAATCATATAATACATATAAATGATACAAAAAGCACATTTTTAGAAAGATAAATGATTGCTGAACTTATTAATATTTTTTTTAAATCGATTAATTGCTATTTTTAAATGTAAAAAGGGTTTTAGTGGCTTATGGTGTGGATTTACCATGTTCCCAAGGCTTGTAAACACGATAACTCTTGATAATATTAATTGTTTAACTAAATCTATTTTTTAATCTCTTTATGTATCATGTGGGAAGCCACTGAATGTAAATGGCAGTGTTATTTTGTTTTGTTTAGCTATAATAAATTTTTTTCGGCTCAAAAATGGCGAAATTTTCATTGATTTGGTAGCCTTATATGTAAATTATTTCTCTAAATGGGGAGCTACAGCCACAGAGTAGTTTTCTCACTCACTCAGTTCGGCTTCAGTCGCCGTCGTAAATGGACATTGTTTCGGTTGTTTGCAGCGGCTCAAAAAGATCGCTGTACAAATACACAATATTCGAATAACCAAATTTCTTAAATATCAAGTAGTATTAAGTAGCCAGTAGTAAGTAGTAGTAAGTATTAAGTAATCCAGTACCGTTGCCATCTCTCCATATTGCATGACGTCATCAAGCCAGGTTCGCAGATATTTCCGCCCGTTATCGTCTATCCAGTACCGTTGTCATCTCTCCATATTGCATGACGTCATCAAGCCAAGTAGTAGTAGTAAGTAGGTATAACTGGCCACTACCAATAACTAGCCACTTGGTAGTTTATCTATTTGAAATAAGAATAATGCTTCATTTGCGCCATCTATGAACGTATCAAACTAATGCCTTGTCATTCACCTTTCATAGTAGTTCAACTTTTTTCGCTACGAATACCAGCGCCATAGAAAATGGCCATTTACTGACAGTCGGTGTACGTGTCTCGACATGTAAGTTACTTCACTACGTAAATGTTAGTGGCTAAGTATTTACAAATTTTAAATTATTAGTTATAATACTTGGCGTTGGTGAAAGAATCGCATATTTCTATATCTTTGCTTAGTGAGTTATGTGAATCTTTATTTTAATTCAAATAAAATCTTAAATAAGCCGTTATTGAAAGGGTGGCTAGTTTCTGAAGTAATTTTTTTGCATGTTTTTAGTTATTGACCACGTATGCCAGTTACTAAAGTTTTATCTATTATTCAAATTTCTTTAAAAATAACTCGTATTTATGATGTTTATAAGGTGTAGTATTGTGTATTTTCTTTTTGGCAGGATTAGTCGACTCTGATCAGTAACTGGCATAGGTGGCCAGTTCGTGGCCAGTTACTAATCTATTTTCTTATTTTTTTTATAGTTCATTGAAGTGTTCGTTAAATGTCTCAAAAATGACAATACGGCAAAGAAACAATAGATAAGGCTCTAAAATTTATTGAGAATAAAGAGGGTTCAATTCGACAGGCGGCAAAACAATTTGGTATGCCCAGAAGTAGCCTGCAATTTAAAATTAAAAATCCGGACACAAAGTTTAAGTCTGGACCAGATCCAGTGCTTACTGAAGCTGAAGAATATAGTTTATGTGACTCCATTATACAGCTATCAAAGCGTGGCTTCCCAAAAAAAAAGAGGATATCCAATTATGTGTCCAAAATTTTTTGCAACAAAATCCGAGACCCAACCCTTTCCGAGACAACAAACCGGGAGATGTGTGGTTTAAGGCTTTCCTGAAATGTTCTATTCGAGCATCAGAAGGAGTTACCAATGCAAGTGCATGTGTTTCTGAACAGGATATTAGAAAATGGTTTCAGGAAATACAGCAGTATATTGTCGAGGAAGAACTAAATGACGTCATTCAAGATCCCATAAGAGTGTTCAATGCCGATGAAACTGGATTTAATATTTGCCCGAAAACAGGCAAAGTACTGGCTGAGAAAGGGTGCAAAAATGTGTACCAGATAGAAAAAGGATCCTCTAAAGAAAACACTACAGTTTTATTTACGTTTTCTGCTGCTGGACACGTCTTTAGACCAATGATTATCTATCCTTATAAACGGATACCTGACCGAGTTTCGTTGAGTGTGCCATCTGATTGGGGAATAGGGCGAAGCGACACAGGTTGGATGACTGCAGCAGTTTTTTATGATTATATCTCTAACTGTCCACAACCACAAATTTTAGAAAGCAATATCCCACTTCCTGTAATTCTGTTTGTCGACGGGCACAAAACCCATATAACTATAGAATTATCAGACCTATGCCGCCGTCTTCAAATACATCTAATAGCGCTTTATCCAAACGCAACTCGCATACTACAACCAGCAGATGTCGCAGCTTTTCGCCCAATAAAAGTTGCTTGCAAGAAGGTACTGCGCGATTGGTACGCTGCGAATAATTACCAGAAAAGTCTGACCAAAGAAACCTTTGCTCCACTGTTAAAAACAGTTGTAGACCCGTGTTCTAAGAAAGAGACATTAATAAATGGATTCAGAGTATCCGGTTTGTATCCATTTGAACCAAATAATGTCGATTTTAGCAAGTGCAATGCAAGAGTAAACCAACCCGATGATACACCCACGTCAGAAAAAAATGTTGAGCATAATATGAATGTGTTGACCTATTCAGAGTTTTGTAACATTGTGGGTGAATCTATTCTTGAAAAATGTCGAACAGTCTCGTCCATTTTAGAGTCAGATGATAATTTTATTGCAATTTACAGTTTATGACAAAGATTCGAGACTGCATCGAAAAACAAAAATAATTATAGAGTTGTCACGTGGACCGTGACCCTTTCGACCAACCGACCATAATCGTAGAACACAATTATGTGACTGATATTATAGAAGATGACGTAAACCCTAAGACGATTCTTGATGAATTTACAGGTGAGCTAATAAATAAAACCGAAGAAAGAGAAGATCAAAAGAAAAAAGTGTATAGTACCCGTGGAAGATGAGGATCAGTTTTTGTGCCACATTTGCTATCGAGAGTGTAATACTGACTCATCTGACGGTGATTGTGATGCCATTTTTAGCTCGGCTTGTGAAGGAGCACGAAAGCAAGGCTTCGGTTCAAGCTTTATGCTATAAAACTACATTAATCTTAGATTTGTTGATTTCTTTTTTTATAGATAGTAAGCATGTGGCCAATTAAT